CTCTTCCCTCCATAAATCCCTTAATCTTGAAATGAGTTTGTGAATCTTAAAAAGAATCTCAGTTCATAAATATTGATCAGAAGTTCTTTGATGAAGAGGAAAATAGGGCAGGGTTGTCTGGTTGCTATCTATCTTGCCTGACTCCTTTAAAGCTTTACCTGCTTCGTGTTATGCTAATTGTTCCTTCTGAACAGTGAGAAGACCACAGGAGTAACTAAACAAACATCATCTTTGCACTGCTATTGTAGAGATACTGGTAGCTTAAAGGCTGCATGTTACCTCACACAGAACCTTTCTTATTTACATAAAGGAACAGAGTCAGTAATATATTACTAGAAATAAATGAGGCTCATGACAATAAAGAGATACTACTAGAAAATTATACTCTTCTGAATATGTCAACAGCACAGAAAGCTTGCCTAGGTCATTGATCCATCAAGCATGAAGTTAGTCTCAGCACTGAAGGCTCCACAATCTAAAATAATTTATCATAAAAATGAATAGGTATTTGATTCTTTTGTTTTCTATTAACTCATTCTCCATTTTTTACTTACTCTCACTTTGCATTGCATATTCAAGGTCCTAATCTGGTATCAAGGAGCAATATTAAGATAGGTGTAATGATTACCTTGTAGATTTACTATAGCAATTCCCAAAGTCTTCCATACAAATTTCTTTAATGTTTGTATCCTTCCCTATACCAAATGACCAGGATCTAACTGCTGTTCACACTGTATGCCCATGGCCAGGTGGAGACCTGCCACCTACAGCCTCCCACTCAACACTTCATTCATTCAACATTTGTCTCTCAGGAAATAGAGAATTTAGAATAGCATTTGAATTTGGCCTTGAGAGCTTAGAACTACAAAAGCAGAGCTGGGGAAGGGCACATTTGAGGACTCCAAGTCATGGGCAACTTCCTAGCAGAAGTGAATTGTAGGCAGTGTTTACAAAAGCATCTTCCAGCTGTGTTTGTGAGCTGCGAGGAGATGGAAAGAACAGCTGAAGAATAGGATAAGAATTTCCAGCTTCTCTCTGGAGGCCATGAAAAAAATCTGACTTGTTTGAGCAGGGAGTGAAATGAACAGAAAGCCATGTGGACAGTCTGATGGGGAAGTGTATGTGACATCATGTCACTATTGGCATTTTCCCCCTAACTAATGACATGTCACTTGTTAGCTCACTCGCTGTTTCTCATGCCAGTCAAATATTTGAAACCATTCTGGTGGAACGTAAAATCCACCCAATAATTTGGTACATTCCACTTATGAGGCCTCTTTTCCTCAGTCTTGTCAGATGACTCATGCTCTTTTTACTTCTGCCATGCTATGTGACTGGACTTTCTTCTCACAGAAATTGATATTTAGAAATTGGCAGTTTATGACTTGAACGAAAGTGTTTTTCTTTATATGAGGACCAATAATCAGCATTTCAACACAACAATACCTGGTTCATGGTCTTTCCTATGGTTTTCCATTAATGCATCATTCTGCACACAGAAGCACTCAGAGTAGGATAAATGCAAGATGGCACAGAAGCCATGACTGTGCCCTCTGGCAGACACATCACTCTTATTACCAGGAATGAGCTTTACCTGCTTGGGTGCTGGTTCCATAAGTCCTGCTTGACTTTTCCTTCTTTCAATCTTATTGTTTATTTGTCTTGCATTTTAAACACCCAGACTGTGGACATCAGGCATGTATTTCATGTTATTGATATATTACATATTCTTTTCCTCCAATCAGTATTAAATTGTGTTCTAATCATAATTTTACAAGATGATTATTGCTGAGGCAGAGGGAAATTGCTACAACAAGTTTTGAAAAGGCTGACTAAAATGTGTTATTTGTTGTGCTCATTCATGATATTATCCTGCTAATAACTTGTCCCATGTGTTCTCTTAATATAGGTATTAGAAAGAAAGCCCAACTCCCACTGGATAAAGCAGTGCCTGGTGTTTGGAAATATGAAAAATATAGATTAGCTTCAGTAGCAAGGACTTACATATTTTAAAAGGCAAACAACAAAGGAAGTTTTGTTTAGATTTTTTCACAGCAAATTGTAACTGGATTTTAAGTGTTTAAATCAGCATTATTTGGGAAATTTTAAATACTTATTCATGTTGTTTTGTGAATTAGCGGTGCTTCAGTTTTGTAAGTGTCTACTTGGCTCTTTCAAAGAACCCCAAATTTCTTATCTTCTTTTGGAATTATAGTGCGAAAGAGGAAATGGTATTTTAATGAATCAGCCATAATTTGAACTGATTATTTTCTAAAGCGTAGAAACCAGTAAAACAACAAGGATGGGCTTATGTCTGCCCCAATATAGATTGATTTGAAAATGATATTCCTACTGTGTAAACAAGAATGGATACATTTGGTGCTGAGGAAGGGTCAAATACATAACTATTGCTGTCACAAGATATTACTCTATATCAGAGAGATGGCAATATACATATTTAGATAATTACATCCCATATAAAATTATGTTTACATTTTTAAATTGCTAGATAATTTTCTTTCTGTTAAGTGCTTCATTTCACTCTGACTTGAGTCAACTTCTGTTTGGAATGAATTAGATCATTCCAAATTCCTCTCTGATATTTGTTGATATTCTCCTCTACACTTAATTTTTCTGTGGGCCGAAGTGTCTAATGTGGCAATATTCACATTGTGGGGATTAACACCATAGGGAAAGCATTTCGATGACATGTATGATCAAGGTAGAGTGGATATGCCCTGCAGCATAGTCTACTGTTAGCCAGAAATAAGTCACTGCTGACATAGATTTTACAATGAATCTCTAACACTACAGCCATCTTTAAAACACTGCAAAAAAAAAATACTGGAAAACCTTTTTTTCCAATTTTTTTAAAACTCCACTACACTTCTAAAATGTTCAGCTATTAAGGGGAATGTTAAAAAATGAAATTATCCATAATATATGACTACTGTATGCAACGCAGGACCATCATCCTAGATTCTTCAAGAATTGGGTGTACATGTTTCTGTGTTATTTACAAAAGACAGTCCAAATTAGCGCAGCACATAGCATTGTATAATTGAGAGGTTGACGAACAAGAGGGAAGCAGGCAATTTCTGCAAAAACAAGGACTGTGCGCCACAAGACCGCTGTGACCTTACTTCAAACTGTGAAACTGTGCAACAGTGGAATTTGGAAAGTCTTAAAAATTCAGAAGGTGCAGAAAGAAATCAAGTTAGACTTTTATGTTCTTGGTGCTTAAACTGAAGTTTTCCTTCATTAACCAGCATTAAAATCTCAAGTAAGGTGTTTAATGTGCCAGTATGTGTCAGGTAGACCTTTCCCAGCGAGCTGGGATCCTGTCTTATGTGTCACAGAGCATGCTGTACTCACCGCTGCAGGGGCAGGCGAGAGGGGCCAGAGATGAGCAGTTGCCAGGGGTGGATAGTGCGGTACACAATTCATATCTGCCTGAGCACGCACTTACCCATAAGCATATAAAGACAGAACTTTGAGCTGGTATCTGATCCATGGGATTGCTTCTTTGATGTACCTCCTTGCCTTAGATTGCTTTTCAGTTTTAAAATTGTAGAACTATCCTTTCTAATTATAATCATTCTGATAGAAATATTTTAATATGCATGCTTTAAAAACAACACAAAAACTACTGTCAGTATTAATACTGAACCAGACTGGTATGCATAGATTTAACATCTCATCTTACTAAGATTCTTAACCCTATAAAAATAGTAGGCTAATAGTATGACTTTTAGATATTTAGGATAATAGTTTCAGTGAGACCTTTATTTCTTTAGTTATCATCATGTGGATAAACCAAGAATTTACCCACTAGACATTGGAAAACAAAAAGACTGTCCCTAACCTTTCTAAGTACAAAAATTAAGCTCAGCATTCATTTTCAAATGTTCAAAAATATGTCTATACAATTTAAAATTTAAGCATTACTACTTGTCATGGCCATACTTTATTTTTTCAAAACATAAGTCAAAGGTTATTAATAATATACATGTATGTATTCTGAATAATTAAAATATGTTTCAAATCCATAAAATGTCTGTCTTTTAAATGTAACTTGGGCTTTTTGGTTGATTCCTTTTCAATTGAGAAGATGTTTATTCATAAACATTTCTTTCCTTTCCACAATTT